GAACGAACAGCAGTGTAAATATTCAATGTGTAGGAATCTTTTACTCTTGACTTTTAACATTTAAAGAACATTTATATAAATGGTGTAGATTTCAGCTACTATGAGTCAGACTTATAACTGTGTTAATCTGACCTTTTTGAAAGACTTGAAATTTCTGCAGGTAAAATGGAATGAGTCCATTCTTACCTCATTCTCAGGCTCTTAGGCAGACTACAGCAGCAGGAATTATGGGTCCCTATACAACTGATAGGGAAGGATTATTCATAAGAGAATGTCAACCCAAAGAAAGCATTAAATACATAAAGATATGGTAGGATTGAGTTACATTGACACAGACTTAAGTTTTTCTGCAAAGTGTTATCAGTTTTGTCTTTGCTCTTGTGGCAGCAAGACCACCAGACTTTCTGTACTCAATAATTTGCACCTCCTTCTGTAGAAATGCTTGCTTAATAGGTCCTCTATAAAGTCATCAGAAAGATTTCACTCAGAGTTTTCTTTCATATGATTAATAGTTACTTTCAATACTGCAATTTTATATACAAACAGAATTGTCAGAAAATAAGTAACTTTTTTTCTTTCCTACTCTAAACTTATTTGTAAGACCTGGAACCTAGTAGCTGGATTAGGTGCAAAGTAATTAATTTAGGGTCTGTTTTAGTGCTTATCTATTCTCCTCATTAGCATCTACTCATACATCATGCAAATAAATGCTAATTTCAATTTTCAAGTGCTTCAGATAATGTCTAATGTTTAAGATTTTTGTGGAGGCAGTCATATTGCCCATATCCAAGAGGGATAGAAAAAGCAAAGGAAAATACTTCTTGATTTTTTTTTCCTGGGGTTACTGCCTTATATAGAAGACTAAAATCAGTGTTGATGTAGGAGATTGAACATGTTTATAAGATTATGCTTTTATTTTTAAGACTTTTATTTAAATCTATACAGCTTTTCATTTGATAGCAAATTTCACTGAGGAATTCCTTGCTGCTTTGCATTAATCTCTGCTTTATATTTATCATATAAAGGTGTTTTGTTGCAATTACAGAATATATTATTGAACAGTACCATCAAGAAGCCACATATCTGTATTAATCTAAAGCATCAAGACACAGGAATAGAACAGAGGAGCATTTCAGTCTCCAAAAGCTTTAAATTCTGATGCACGATAACTTTTTACAAAATTTGGAAAATTGTCTTAGGATATGGACATCAGGCTGTTTTGCAGAAGAGAGAGAACAGCTGAAATATTCTGTCTTGCTCTTCTTGTTGAAGTCTTAATTAGGTTTGCATTCACTTACTCCCTCTTCCAATGTAGCACTACCTCATACCAAATTATCAGGGCAACATCTGCCAACAGTTTTGTCTACACAGCACTGAGCTACTGGATCAAAACTGTATCTTGGAGAGCTTTATTATAGGTATCATAATTTTCTGCCCAAGTTAGATACTAGTTTTATAACATATAAGAGGTAGGTGTTCATAAGCAACAAGTGTCTTTTGAAGAAATAAATTACTTGCATTAACCTCTTATTTGGCAATGATGTAAAAAGCAATTTTTTTCCTCCACTGAAAAAGGTGTCCAGAATCTTCAAGATATGTAAGATATGTCTGTATAACATCACTGTCAGAGTAGCAGTATATGACTGGGAACAAAGTTTGAATAATTTTTATTTTATCACAGCTTTTAAAATAATTTTAGCTTGGAGGGGAAAAGGAATTAATGTGAATGTATTTAGTATTTTAAATTTACTGCACTGTAAATATTGTAAACATTTGTGTTCCCAAGTGCTATAAAATTATTTCAGTTTCTGTTTAGGAAAAAGAAATCAATAAAGGAATTCAGACATAACAAATGACAATTTCAGGCACTGTGACAGTAGATAGACCTGGGTGCCTTATATTCACAGACCTTTCAATCAAGCAATATGTGTACTGCAGTGGAATAAACTGAAGACCCTCTAGCAGCCAAGTGGACTTTGATCACTTTTGTTCCTAAATGTGACTCATATTTCAGTAGCCACTTTTTTCTAAGCTACTGATCTTCCCTAAACTTCACAGTGAGTGCTCAGTGAACTTAAAGGAGCCTTTACTCATTCTGCAAACAGACGTTAAATACTCATGCTCGATCACACTGGTTTTTTTTCCTTATATATCAGATACTGTCTCTTTGTTGCAGTTTTTGTTTCTTTTGTTGTTTTGTCCTTTGCATTCAACAGAAAAAATTGTGATGGAAAATGAGTTCCTTTTTGTAATCACAGTGCTTTCATTAATTCAGTTTTACAGCAGAAATGGAGTTTGAAAATACTAATTTGCCTACATTTTTTTATTTTATGGTTTTTGTTCATTCATCTTTCTTGATGATTACTCTTATGCTTTCTGTCGATTGCATGGCAATTAAGATACTCTGTAAAATTAAACATGATAAATACACTGTCATAAATCTCCCTAGTTTTCCAAAGAGAAAGCTAAGAAGAGTTCAGTTTTTTGTAACAAGAATACATAGTAGGGACAAGACATAGTAGGGACTGCCTTATTCTTTTGATTGTTTGTAATTATAAGACTGCAGCCATATAAACAATGCACTGGTAGAAATTAGTGAATAGCCTTTGGTCATGCTGCTCTTGTGCCAATATGGTCTTACTGGATCTAAGATGTGATCATTATTTGTTATTAATTTCTTTCCAGATTGGGGCATAATGGGTGGGCTCTGTGAATGTTACATGTTCTGGGTGTGAAATGAAGGCATGTGGGAATGTGAGTGTTTCCAACCTGCTGATGTAATGTGAGACAACTGCAGAAAAAGGAGAGGGTCAGCCTTGGTCCACTGTTCTCTGTGTTGCCTGTTCAGCATGACCTCTGGAATGGGCTGTGCCTACACTGCACCCAGGTTTTGCATAAAACAAAAAGAAAACCAAAAAAAACTAGGAAAGAAATAATATTTGACTTGAAGAGATATTACTTGAAGGTGTAGTCAAACCTCTAGTTTGCTCCTGTTAGATCTGCTTTGTCATTGCCTTTTCCAGTTGAGCTGACTGGTCCTTTTTCTACCTCTCTACTAGTCAGAGCAGCTGTTGACCCATGCAGAACACACACTGTGCTTCGCCCTCCAAGGATGAAAAGCAGCTTTGTTTGCTGTGTTGTCTCATGTCTCCCAGAGGCATCATAACTATCAGAGGCAGAGTACTACCCCGAAGTTGTGGGAGTAGTGCTTCCTTGCTACACCTTTTTTGACTTTTTTTTTAATGCTACAAGAACTGTAAATAACGTTCCTTAAAACATCTCCATCTCTAGTTTCTCTAGGGAAAACTCTAAAAAAATACATTTCATATGGTCATTTATAGCAAGAAGTACCAGTTTTAAAAACACACCATGGATGAAACAGGTAAAAACTGAATCTTTTTCCTTGCAACAAAGAGAGGTACTGAAAATCACTCTAAAAGAGATATTAAAAAAATAAAATTGGTTTAGATTTTAAGCTCTCTAGGAAGTCACCTTAGAAATGACTTTCTGAAACACTGTCTTGTCTCCTGCCTCCTTTAAGTTAATTTTGTATGATAATCCCTGGGATTCAAATCCAGGGAGATGGTTTTTGTTCCTTTTATATTCATTTGAGATCATTAATTATATCAGCACTTGCTCTTTCCTTGGCAACATCAAACATGTATTGTAACCAGTCGTTACAATGTTTTACAGCAATAGTCATCACAGAGAATTAGCATTCTGTGCATTATCAGATTTCTAAAAATTTGCAAGGTTGTGAATATTTACTTAATAAAAGTAGGTTGCCAAGAAAATACAAATGCTTCAATAAGGATATTATTAAATTTTAGGGATATATAAATAATGATTTTGAGAAACCAAGAATCACTTTTGCTTTATTCTTATTTTTATAGTATACTTCTCTTTGCTTTTTCAGTAATTAAGTCTTCTGACATTCCAGAAAGCATAAATCCTGCTGAGATGTTTAGGTTTGGTGCAAACTATTGATGTACAAACAAAATTTAAAAAAAAAAAGACAAAAATACACCCAGAATCATAACAAGCTGTTTTGCTTATACCTTTGAAAGAAAATTGGATGGTAAAGTAGTATGGCATGCTGAAACTGTTCTAGTCTTGTTGTTAACTAGAACCTCCTTTTGAAATTCATTGCCTTCAATTACATTTTTAAAAGAATTTTAATTATGTGCCTGAAAAGAATAAAGATGCTTCAGGCTCCATTTGTTTATCATGGAAGGCCTGAAAAAATGAGGACAGAGCTTCCCAGCTCATGCAGGGGTTACAGAGAGAGAGAGATGACTTTTAATTCGACAAGTTCAGAGAGATTTCTTAGTTTGACGCGCACAGCAGGGGGTCTTTGAGTGCCTGGCAATACTTCAGCATTCTGAGCTTTGAAAGTCTTTCCCTGCAGCAGAAATTGTATCAAAAGCCAGTGATAATATTCCCTGCAAGGTAAAGGACCCTATTGAAGATTTCTAGAGCTGTTTATTTATTCATCACAGTTTTTTCTTTTAGGACGTATAAGACGTATAGGTAAAAATTCACACAGATGCTAAGAAAATGGAATAAATAAAAAAAATTAATGGGGACCTCTCATTAATCCTTCAATTTTCCCTTAAGTTTTCCGTAGGCCACGTTCACCTATAAAATTTCCTGTCATTCCCTGCCATATATTCTGCATGCAGTCTTCCCTTCAAATCTCAGCTTTTCCTCATTTTTATCAGAATTATAATTTTTGTCTGCCTTCTACCACCAGCTGAGCACATAAGATGTTTATGGCCGTTTCTTTCCACTAAGCCCTTAAAGTGATTGATTAATTTTATGGAAGAACATTTTATTCCATAGGGGTCTTTTTAAATCTTATTTTTAAAGTAGATTTGAGATAGCTATTTCAAAGCCAAGGTTAAAGTGTCATTTATATTCCAGAGATCAGACTTTTAATGTTTTGACATTACGCTTATTTGAAAAGTATACACTGGTTTTGTTTTGTTTTGTTTCTGCAGCAGAGCTGGGACTGTGAGACTACGCCTTTCCCTTGTGTAATGTCAATGTCGGCTATCACTTTGGCAGAATCACCCAGCTCAGTGAAGACAGAAAACCCCTCCTTTCCTCCTGTTTTTCATCTGCTGGTGGCATTCCAAGTGACCTTCCCTCATAAATATTGGTGAGTGACCACATGGGGAAAGCAGCTCCTTCGTGCAAAGAAACTTGTTTCAAAAAGCTGTGTTCACCTGAGGGGTTTCCATTTTCCCCAAGTTTCAAAAAAAACCCACATGTGCAGGTGTTGCTTGGGGAGGGTGGATTTTCCCTTCTTTGAATAATAACTTGAGTTATTTAGCATCACTGATTTATCTAGACTTATAAGCATTTATAGAACACTCTCATGTGCTAACTATTCAAACTATAGAAACCAGCCTTTCAAAATACTACTTTACAGAGAGAAGTATTTCCTGAGAGCACAAAAGATTTTTTCCTCTCTTGCTGTTACTTCCTCATGGTTAAGAGGTCTGGAATGCTGTAAATTTAATGTAACACCCCAAATATGTCAAGATGAAAGTTTCCCAAGTGTAGGAATTAAGCAAGATAATTAGAGGCCTTTTAATTCTTTCTGGTTTGGGAAGTATGCCTAGAGTGAAATCACAGCACTGCAGAAATTCTGATACCTTCAGGGCAGTCCAGAGATGATGTCATAATTTTAGTAGTTCCATAAGGCTAAGTCCCATAGTTAGTACTGAAAAAACTTTTCAGGTCATTTGAGGCTATCACAGCAGATTTACCCCACTTGAGATTAAGAGATTTTCAGTCTTAAAACCAGATGTGTTGATAGTGAAATAGTCACCCATGGCTCAGGAATATTTATGGTATCATAAAACATAACAATATAAAATACAGGAACAGAGACAGAAAAATATTTAACCTTTCTTGGAACAGTTTGGAAGTTGTATATATGTGCAGGATCTAAGGCTACAATTTATTTAATGTTGGTTACATGTATTAAAATGAAGACATGGACAGGAAAATCAGTTAGCTGTCATTCAGTATTAACTATGTATTGCAATCATCTCCCATTCAGACAAAAGTGATGTATCATTTATGACTATATGATATGTAATGTTAATTTTTTTCCTTTTTTTCCTTAACCGTATGGGTACTTGAAATATGTCTGTTTAAAGGACTAGAGCATCTTCAAAAGAAATATTAATAGGAGCACTATGGCATCAGCCTAATAAAATAATGCCCTATGATTAATGGAACATTTTCAGGAAAAGGAAAGGCTGGTGTACCTTTTATATCTCTCTCTGTGTTTAAAGAGTGAAACAGTTGTGCTATTTATAAGTTCCTCAAGTATGTGTTAGAATTGTCACTAATTTCTGTGACGACTTGTAATCAGGGGAGAGAATGAAGAGAAAGAAGAGGGGAAGAAGTGAGTAGAATTCCATAAATGTGTGTGCTCTATCAATGTTCTTTCTTTGTTTCTCTATCAACTTATGTGATGGAGTCGTGGCTACTTAGTCTTTTGGGGGTTTGCATTTGGGTACAGGTAAACAAGGTAAATCAGTATCAGGAGTTGTTCTGAGGATTTGTGTGAATCTCTTAGAACCAAAGTAGGTCTTCAGTCTTGGATGGGATCATCAGCTTCAAAAAAAAAAAAGAAAAAAGAAATGCATGAATACACTTGCTACAGCTTTTTTACAGTCTAGTAACATTGTGGTACTCAAACCCATGCGCTGTAACATTTAGTTTGGTCACATAAGATGGTAAGGCTGCGTACCATTTCAAATGGGAAGCAATAAGAGAGAGCATTCATCTTTTGAGAAAGACCTCCTTTAACTGTGTTTCCATTTTAAACTTCTCTGTCAATTAATTTTTTATATCTTTAGAGGATGTTTTATCAATTTACAGTAGCTTTATGGAATAACTTGCTGTTTGATCAGACTATGATATTTTGCATATGTAGCTGCTTTCTTTTAAAATGGGCAGGACAGAACCATACACAGTCCAACAATTAAGGATCCTGACTTTGTTCTTCTTTCTGTGCCAGATTCCAAGTATAGGCAAACAGTTCACAACTCATTATTTTAAATGAAGATGACATTTTTTGAAATCTTGCAAGACCAACTGGTATACTAATAGCAGGTAATTAGGTGATTATAAGGTCTTTAGGTACCACTGCAACTGCTTTGTCCTCACAAGGAGAGTGAAGAATGTTTGTGGAAGTTAGGATGTTACCTGAAAGAATCAGATATAATCATACCCATTTATCAGTACACAACATATCTGTTTTATTAAAAAAAAAAAAAGCGGCTTTTTAAATTTTGACCACATCCACATTAGAAAGAAGTGACCAAGTATGCAAAAAATTTGTAATATTATTTTTCCTGTTTAAATTTTTTTATACAACCATGTGCTTCAGTGTAATCCACCAGATGGTTCTAGATTCAGTAATTCACTGCCTCTATTGCATTTTGCACATATTTTATATTTTCTTCAAATTTGATATTTTACAAAGGGTAAAGGGCCTTAATTAAAGAAATGAGAGGCATACATTGATAAATAGATTAAATATTGTATAAATTTAAATATTCCCTCTGTGAACAAAGTGGGATTAAACACATTTTGATTGTAACCTATTTTGTCAGAGTGGGCATAGTCCACCTCTGATTACTTTATTGGTTTTTCTTAAAACCTCAACTATTTATCAGGAGTTTGGTAAAAAAATCCAGTGTGAATTCTAACACAGAATTTTTAAAGTCAAGTTTACCCTTGGAAAGCCTGTAGCTCTGAACCTTTATGAAGACATTTCCGTGCAACTAGGTTCAAATATCCATTGAATGTGCATAATGCATCAACTTCCAGAAATATAAACTGTCATTAGCCTTAGAGAGTGTTGCTCTCCTGTAAGGAAATTGCTGCAAAATAATGCACATTCTTCTTTCAATCCTTATGGGTTTTCTTAGTTTTGGTTTGTTTGGGGTTTTTTTGTATCTAAACTCTTTGGATTCTGATGAAACTGGGATCATAGAGAAGTGGCATAGTCTGCCACCTGGTAAAAACATGATGTTTGAGGAGGTAGAACTAATAAAGTCAGCCTGTTTTCTTTCTACTCTGAGGTCACCAATTTCAACTGAAACCCTGATCTCCCTATTCCCTTTATTACCTGCTCTCTTTGCCTGGGAAACAATGGAGCTGTGCTTAGTCTGCAGCTCCCTGAATGCTGAGTAGCCCAGCCATCTCCTATCCACATTCTTCTCCCTGGGGATATTAATTTAGATCTCCATCCTTGAGACTTCTAAGGGTCTTAATTATCTTTAAGACTTGCTGTTTTTCTCCAATTTGCTTAACACTTGACAATCACCCAGCTAAAACATTTCTGGGTGAAGGGAGATAGGACATACATACAGACTGCAGGTTTAGCCTTAGCTAAGGCTAAAATATGCAGGCATTAAAAAAGATACAAGAAATAGCTGGGATCCCCCTGCTGAGATTGGGATTAAGAGACAACTCAATTAAAAAAAAAATTTCCACAATTTTTTGGGGCTTTTTTTAATTAAACACCAAGTTTTTGTGAATGATACTATAATTCTTAATTCCTTTTTAGATATTTTGTTTATTCAATAGCAGCTAAAACAAAAGGATTCTTCCCGTCCAAGGTTTTTAAATTAAAAAATATGTTTTGAATTACTGAGGTTTACTTGAGATTTTACAGTGATTATTTAGCTATGTTGTCCCAAATGCTCATGTGAAAGTCTAATTAACCAATAAGAATTGAGTAGACTTGGTAGTCATTGTTTACATTAAATGTTCAGAGATGAAAGAAATTAATAAATAATTCTAAATCATAAAATATAAATATAAAATCACAAAAATGCTAGTAAATACTTGAATAACATCTGCAATTCCTCAGACCTGTCATAAAATTAATTTTAGCTAATTGCTAACAAAATAGAAGAAATTATATGCACATATGACAATCATGAACCCAAGTTATTCCTTTCTAAGGCAAATATAATTTTGACTATATGATTTGTTTGAGTACAAGGAAAACTTTGAAATCTGAATGGTGGTGTTATTTTCTCTATGAAAATATGAAGCCGTCTAAGTTTACTCCTGTGTAAAGGAAATAAATGAAAGGGCTCTGAAGAGATGCCAAAAGCCTTTTGAGTGACAGCATTTAGGAAGCACAAGCTCTTCATATGGTAATACTTTCAGGTAATTCAGTAGCTGTCTGATCTGCTATTCAAATATCCAGGTCAAAGTTATTATGCATATATTCTTGTTACTTGGTTACAATTACACAGCAAAGTTAAAATAAAGTCATCGTTATTCAGATGTCTCTTTGCAAGAGGAGGGAAGAAAATATTTCATAAATTTGTTTTGTTTCTCTTTTTGCTTTTTATTTTATGTCAAAAGAAATTTATTCTTATTTTAATTTTATTTCCGACTAAATGCACTATTAACTAAAGATCTGTACTTATGAAACAATATGGTTTCATATGATTTTATGGTGACTTTAATAAGTGATTTGTGTATGAGTGCCACAGAGAATGATGACATCACCTAGGTTTCAAGCATCTGCTACTTACATCCAACTCTGTATTACATGCTGTGGAATAAGTGACAAGTTTTGGCATAAAATGCTAAAAGGAGTTGTGCCCTAAGTGTGGGGATAAGAGATGTGCCACAAATCTCATCGTTTTGAGCTACTAAGAAGCATCTTTGTCAGAGCAGGAGTTGCAGCTGACTAAAAGTAGAGTAAATGTGAGAACATCCACAAGGTTAAGTGTGCCCATATTAATAACTAAAGCTTTAGCTCAGTTGCCATTCCTAGCCTTAGAATTCTGTCCATGCTATGTTGCTCTGTGCACCTCTGGTGGCAGGCGTTGGCTGTCCCACCATGGGATCGAAAGGGAATCAGGCTTCTGAACAAGCTCCATTTAGACACTCAGTCTAGACACCATTCTTAAAGAAGTCTCCTCTGTTCATCACTAATGTTGATAAACTTTAGGAAAGGAAAGGGAATAGAAGGATCAGAGGGAGCACAACTGCAGCCTTGTGGTTGGTACAGGCTCTGTAGAGAAGAAGGGAGAGGTCCCAGCCTCAGTCTTAAGGACTGTTCATGCATATTTTACTGAATAGTCATTGGAAAAAGACCTTTCAACTTTA